TCACCATTCTACTTCTTAGGATGAGTATGGGGGAGTTTATAACCCCATAGGCAACCCTAGACCAGTGGAAAACTGGAGCCTGAGGATAAACATTCTTGTCTTTCATCCCTAAGGTGGGGAGGTCTGAAGCATGATTCACAGCGTTCCTCACAGCCCTCCCAGGAGAAGGGAGCCCTAGTGCCCACAGCACTGGCCACCTCAGTACAGCACCTTTGGATTGGCCTTCCTCCTCCCTCACTTAAGTCTTCCAGTCCTTAAGTCCTCTTTCCTGGGAGTCATTTCCCAAAATAAGTGACCTGTACACCAGCTTCTGTCTCAGGCTTTGTTTTTTTGGCAGAACCTGGACTGAGACACTGGAATCTCTCTAGTTATGGTTGAAGAGCGTGAGAGTTGTTGTTATTACAATGGACGCTTTACAGGAGGTCATGTGGTATCTAGAAAAAGCATTGAGCAAAGGATCAGGGGAATCTTCCTCTTTGTTATTTGGCCTCGAGCAGGCAGTTTAACCATCAAGTGATGGGTGTGGCTGCAGTGATACAAAGTGAGGAAGACAAGTTGCTAAGTGTGGGCCATTCTGTGAACTGGTTATAAGACTGTCACCTCTGGCATCTACTATAAAGTGTTGGGAGTAGTAAGATAGTTCCCAAATCTAAAGGTTCTGTACAGGAGAGGACTAAGAGAAGTGCAAGTGTAGGGCATGGGCAGGACTTCCATTATTTGAATTGAGGCATAAGATAGAGACTCAGCAGTGAGAAAGAGATCTGTTCTAATCTGTAATAGGGATTGAAATATGGGAGCAGAGCTCTTATCAGAAGGTCAGGTAGCGCAGCAAGGGGCCAGGGATCTTAGTGCAAAATCCCATGGCATTAGGCTGGAACTTGTTGAATTGCATCAACCTAATATGAGAAACTACAAATGGGGAGTAGTCCCAGCTTGGAGGGAAAAGAGGACAAGGAGGCTGGATGCCAACTGAAGTCTTACATGTACAGGCTGGTTAAGCACTATAATTACTTGTTTCATTGTATAGCTCAGGATAATTCTGTGACTTTTGAGTCTCTGTGGTTAGGCATCCCAGTACTTAGAGCAAGGGCAGTTGATGTGCTTTCTGCTACAGTCAAGTACAGATGTTGAAGACCTGATTAAATTCTGTCTCTTTACTGATACCCCAAGGGGACACTTAATGAATGATGCTCCCTTTAAGAGGAAGAATAATTAACAATAGGTGTATTATTCATATTAATTCAGTTACTGGTTACTATAATTAATGCTATTTAAGAAAATGATCATAATTATAGCACTTTACGATTTACAAAGTATTTTCCCATCCATTTTCTTATCTGAATCTTGTAACATCTCTCTGGCTTAGGTAGGGCAGGTGAGGGTGAGGAGACTATGGCCCATAGAAGAATTTAACCAATTCCCCACCCTTACACATATATTACTCTGTCTATGACTATAGGGAGATAATGGAAATATGCATAAGATTCACATAGTTCTCAATTGCCTTCCCAAACAATAATGTCCCATCTTTCCTTGTTGTACCAGGACCCACTCCCCAGAATGTTCACATGAATTTTATTTTATTTATTTTTATTTTTGTTTTAAGTAGGCTTCACGCCCAGCATGGAGACCAGTGCGGGGCTTGAACTCATGACCCTGAGATCAAGACCTGAGCTGAGATTAAGAATCAGACGCTTAACTGACTAAGCCACCCAGATGCCCCTTCACATGAATTTTAAACATTAAAGGGACTTTATTCTTTATAATGCCACCATATTTCATAGCGGGATAAAGTTGAGATCACCTTTGATAGAGGGATTAGCATTCTGGAAACATATCTTTCTAGGACAGAGGGCGACTAGCCTTATAGGACTTGGTCAAACTGGAAATTCAGACTCTGAAAAAACATAACCCACCTGCTATGACACTGTTTTCTATTTTTGGCTTTGGCAAGAGAGCCGAGGGCAATCTCAGTTTTCTTAAGGGCAACCTGCAAATATGGGTCATACAGCATGGAATATACAGGCATATACAGGTGTGCACACTCATGCACCCTGGGACTCTGATTCCCTTTCTAGAACATATTACATATTCAATATACAAGAGCATCCACTGAGCCTATTGTACCTCTGGCTGCTTTTACCCCAAAGGTTCTGATATGAAGAAGGTTGCTGGCTGGACCTGTGGCAGAGTCAGTCGTTATTCATTTATTTACTCAAAGAATTTATTGAACACGTCCATGGATCGGGCCCTAGCAAGACTGTGGAGAAATAGCAAGGAGCTAAATGGACAAAATTCTGTCCTCAGGAAGCTCACGTTCTCTTGAGCCAACTGATGACAGACAGCCAAATGAAAGATAATATTAAAAGATAATATTAAGATATTAAAAGATGATTGATATTATGAGAAAAACAAGGTGAGAGGTTAGAGTACCATGCAAGGGTGGTACAAATACATTCAGAACCAGAAAATGATGAGGAAGCTGCTTTAGATAGTGTGATGAATGATACCCTTATTCAGAGAGGGCTCACAAGTAAGAATACCACTACTTCTGGGACAGACGACAATCTGTTTTGGCTCCATGGGGCTGGGCCGTGACGTCATAGACGTTGATGTTATCTGTGTGCCTGGGACAGATCAAGTCCAGAGGGATCAACTTACACGGGCTAAATTCACAAGTGATGGACAGACACACCAGAGCCTATTAGGTCTGTTTTATGTAGAGACTTAAATTTAAGTTCTGGGACTCAGGAAAGCTGGTCTGGTGAGCAGTCTACTAGAGGAAAAAAAACTAGTGATATTAACAGACAATGCTATTATGCTATCGTTACCTGATAGCACATCACTAATAAGATAAGTTTACTTAGAGAATTGTAAGATTGAATGCTGGCGTGTCACTGTACCCTATTTTTTGTTGTCGCTGCGGATAATCTGGTTTCTTGGCTAATACGTTTCTTTCTTTTCTTTTAATTTTTTTTAAGTTTATTTATTTTTGAGAGAGAGACAGAGACAGAGACAGAGTGCTAGCAGGGGAAGGACAGAGAGAGAGAGAGAGAGAGAGAGAGAGAGAGAGGAGAAAGAGACACAGAATCTGAAGCAAGCTCCATGCTCTGAGCTCTCAGCACAGAGCCCGACACAGGGTCTGACCCACAAGCTGTGAGAGCATGACCTGAGCCAAAGTCAGACAGTTAACTGACTGAGCCACCCAAGCATCCTGGCTGATGCTTTTTCTAAACTCTTTAGCAGCCTATCCTGATATTTAACTGCTTCAGAGAAGTTCAGTAGAGTTGATGAGATGACACTAATTTCCCATTATTTCATTTTGGTTGGGTCTTGTTGCAGATATACTTCGGTTTCTTGATGGAGTTGAAAGAGACACTCCCAGTACAATCTACAATCACTAGTAACTTTGTCACCTTAAAAGAATAGTTTTATAAGTTTATTTATTTATTTTGAGAGAGAGAGAGAGACAGGCAGAAAGAGAGAGGGAGAGAGAGAATACCAAGCAGGCTCCGTGCTGTCAGCACAGAGCCTGACTTGGGGCTCAAACTCACAAACTGTGAGATTAGGACCTGAGCTGAAATCAAGGGTTGGATAGTCAACCGACTGAGCCACCAAGGTGCCCCTAAAATAATACTTTAAGAGATGCCTGGGTGGCTCAGTCGGTTGAGTGTCCAAGTTCAGCTTAGGTCATGATCTCACAGTTCGTGAGTTCCAGCCCCACGAACCATGAGATCATAATCTGATCCGAGGTCAAGAGTCAGGTGCTTAACCGACTGAGCCACCCAGGTTCCCCCAAAATAAAATTGTCCCAATTTATAGACGACATGATTTGCTACATAGAAAATTACAAGGATTCTTAAAAACAACAAAACAAAACAAAACACAACAAATGAACCTCTTAAAACTAATAGGTGAGTTCATTAAGTTTGCAGGATATAAAAATAAACATACATGGGGTGCCTGGGTGGCTCAGTCAGTTAAGCCTCCGACTTAGCTCAGGTCATGATCTCATGGTTCCTGAGTTTGAACCCTGTGTCGGGCTCTGTACTGACAGCTCAGAACCTGGAGCCTGCTTCAGATTCTGTGTCTTCCTCTTCCTCTGCCCTTCCCCCACTCACTCTCTCACACTCTTTATCTCTCTCAAAATAAATAAATAAACATTAAAAAAAGACTAACTCACTCTGCTTCCAAATCCTATGACCATCTTACTTTCCGTTACCTTGCCTTAAGCTCGAACCAAACCTTTTGCTTGCTTTCCTCCAGTCTGCTCACGATTCCTGGGAATGCCCTTGTGACAGTGTCTTGCCCTGTAATGGCCCCCTGTTCTTCTGAGCCCAGGTGGATGTCAGAACTTGTGACAGCATGGGACATTTCCACATGAAATCCATAGATGTCCAGCTTCGTAATCAGTAACCACTGCCACATGTGTTCTCTGCAGCCCCTTGGCCAGAACCCTGAGCAGACTCCTTCTAGAGCACTTTGGAGGTGAAATGCTTGGAATGCATTGTCTCTCTCAGACACACCTAGTACCTGCACTTGGCCCACCAATTCCCCTTCCTGGGCTGTCTGTCTCCGCCCTTGCCCCTTCCTGTTCCCACTCAAATGTCATAATTCTGGGTGATGGTTTCTGAACACAGAGAACTTGTAATAGCTCCACAGTTGGATCTGCTTCTTCAGCACAGGGATGGAGACATTTATTTCCTTTTGCTTGTATACTCATCAAAAAAGAAAGCCTCTAATGTGTGTGATTTTAGGAAAATCACTTCATATCTTTCAGTTTTCTTATTTGTCAAAAGAGGGTAATTCTACTCCAGGTTTTGCAAAAGCTAAAAAAACAAAAACAAAAACAGAAACAAAACTGAGGTGCTAAAAAGCTTGGGCAAAGTCACACTGTAACTTGAGAGATTTGCACATAGACTGATATCACTAGAAACTGGAGATTTTTTATTATTACTATTACTATTATTATTTTTGTAACATGCCTGTGATGCTTCTAGCAGGGAAATCCTGGAGGCAAGACCCTTGAGGAGAGACGTTCTAGCCTGGATGCCGAGATAGACTCGCTGACTAGCATCTTGGCCGACCTTGAGTGCAGCTCGCCCTACAAGCCTCGGCCTCCACAGGTAAGATCCTTCTGTAAATATGGCCACATTGCTGGCCACAGAGAGTCCACAGTTACCCAAGAGAACATGCTGCGTCTTATTGCCTTTCCGTTCTTTTTTGATCTTCTCAGGGTCAGCGGTCTATGTTGTCTTTTTATTGAATAAATATCAACGTATGTTAGTTGACAGAAAGCTTTTAAATTGAATTTGCTAGTATTTTTTTTTTAATTTTTTTTTTTCAACGTTTATTTATTTTTGGGACAGAGAGAGACAGAGCATGAACGGGGGAGGGGCAGAGAGAGAGGGAGACACAGAATTGGAAACAGGCTCCAGGCTCTGAGCCATCAGCCCAGAGCCCGACGCGGGGCTCGAACTCCCGGACCGCGAGATCGTGACCTGGCTGAAGTCGGACGCTTAACTGACTGCACCACCCAGGCGCCCCTGAATTTGCTAGTATTTTTTAAAAGAATACAAGATGTTTGAAATGTTGTGAAAATTAAATTTCTTCTTATTTTATTGCACTGTTCTTTTTCTGACTTTCCCTGTGTGAACTCTTTTGTTGTATGTCTGTATGGTCTTCACAAATAGGATTTAGCATGGCTATGTTAAAGTTAAGGTGAGGGCTATATCTTCTGTAAAGAAACCTCTTATGTTGGATGTTAAAGTGGCTTTCGTTTTCTGGTTGTTTTTGTAAGTAATGCTATGAGGGACATGTTCATGTATATTTTCTTTTTAAAAATATTTTTCAGCGTTTCCCAAAGTTTATTTATTATTTATATTTGAGAGAGAGAGAGAGCGTAAGTGAGGCGGGAGGGGCAGGGGTGGGGTAGAGAATCCCAAGCAGGCTCCATGCTGTCAGCACAGAGGCCAACATAGGGCTCGATTCCATGAACCATGAGATCATGACTTGAGCTGAAATCAAGAGTCAGACGCTTAACCAACTGAGCCACCCAGGCGCCTCTCATCTATGTTTTCCTGGGATCTCTTTCTCTGTCTCAGATTTCCTCGGGTTGGGATTTCTTCACTGAGGAGTATAATCACTTTCTTAACTTTTCTTTCCAAAGATTCGGAATAGCTTTCACTATTATACTCCTCAGTCTCACCAGAATTAGTGGTAGCAATTAGAATCTGTTTTTTGATTCTAATGGAGCCTTGATATGAGCTCTTCGGTGCATTTCTTTGCTTACTTTAGAGCGTGGCTATTTCTCTGCTCCATAGTTTATTATCTACATTTCAGAAGCTGAGCTTCCACTGCTGTTGGCCGGCTCCCCTCCTTCAGGTCTTAGGAAGGCAACGGTAAATCTATTCTAGGGCTTCCGAGTCCTCACAAGACAGCCAGCAGAACTCTAGGTGCAAACATGGGATTGGCACCGTCGTCGCTGTTGTTTGACTGGAGTGATGTTTGTTTGACTAAGTGACAGCGCATACGGCACTCTGAGTCTCACTCTGGCTCTTGAACAGCAGCTCCTGAATTCATGATGGTTTCTTTCACGAACGAAAACCCTGTCCTGCCTCTCCGCTGTCACCCATTTCCACACGTAAGGTGGGAGTACTTTCCTCTTTACCTCTTTACATAGTCCCATTGCCTTTTCTGAACACATAATGGGTTCATCAGCCGTGTGGGGGCACCAGGCAAAAGACACCAGAGCTTAGTGGTTCCTCACCTGTCTTGGCTCTTGGCTCTTGGCTCCAGTAACAATGCATTTCATTTCTGGAAAAATGCCCTGAACTGCAGGTATGTAGCAGGCGCTGTGGTCTTTTGGGGGGACCTTTTGGGAGAAGGAAAGTCGGTGGTTGATAGGGCAAAAAAGAGAGCCAAGCCACCATCTTCCAAGAGCCCATGATTTCAGAAGTTAAACTATGGCAAATATGGTAGAAGCACGTGAAAGTAGTACTTTCTGAGTACTCAGAACTCTGAGAAGGTTTATCCGAAGACTTGCATGTTCAGCTACCGGGATGGGTGGCATTGGATTGTTGGGGTGCAGAGGGGAAAACAGCATGAGCTGTAAAGCAGGAAGGTCCAGGGTGTATTCGGAGAATGGCAAGCAGCAGACGAGGCCAATGAAGGCTTGGAGTGGGCTCTAGGACCAGATGGTTCCCTACTGCGAGTCTGTGGACACATGTGAATGCCAGATTGACATTTTGGCCTGATTTTTATAGACAATGGGGAATAGGTGAAGGTTCTTAAGCAGGGGAAAGCTAAAATTCATTTTGGATAACAACAACAAACCCAACAACAACATCGGGAAGGATGCAGGAGGATGAACCCAAGTCTGAGAATTATTCTTCAACATGCCTTGCTGACTTCATAAGCAAGCTTATGGCCATTGTTTGGTGCTAAACATTTTTCCAGTTCTACCCAGCAAATACCTCAAGCCCAGTTTCTCAGGACAGTGAAACCACTGACTTTTCATCTGGACTCATCTGTCTTCTGCTCAAATACTATTTTGACCCACCCTTTTTGTAATAGGACTTTTGCTTAATCTTTTTTTTTTTATCTCCTAAATTATTATACACTAATACACACTGGAGAGGTTCTGCCCAGAGTTTTTTGCTTAATATAGCATTCATTCTTTAAGGCTATGTCTGTGCCTGCCTCCCATAAATCACTGCATTTTAATGGATTATTCAGCAGCTCCGTTTCTGTTTGAGCCATCTTACTGTGCACACAAACTCGTAATCACTGATATTTGGACAGTACTTTACTGATTGTAAAGCACTTTTGCATTTTCTCACTTGAGTAAGGTACAGATATCTCAACTGCTAGATACAGATAGTGTGCTAACTTTGTAGATGAGGCAACTACGATGTGGCAGGTAAGTGACCTTCTCAGGGCACATGAGTACAGGGTGGGCACAGCTGGGCCTTGGCTTTTTTGTGTGTTTGGTTCTAAGTTCTCGAATAAGACAGAGGATGCCAGGATTTTTGTTTGTTTATGTTTTGTTTTTGTTTTTTTTTTTACCAGTGACAAACTATACAGTCATATGAGTAACGGTTTCCCTTAAATATGACTTTCTCCTAAAAAGTAAACCATTTAGAGGGTTAAAAAATGTTAATAATGGTAACCGTTAAATAGAGTAAGTTAAGAATTAGGAGAAAGATCTACTTTCATCGTGCCTAAAATTAAAGAGCGATCCTTTCTAACCTTTGTTTTATTATTCTAATTTAGGAAATCAAGAGTTAATTTGGAGATACATCCCATTTTTCTGAATTATCTTCACTCTGGTGGAACTGAATTAGATGTGTTAGTATTTATTGGTTAACATAATTATATGCTGTGAGAACAATAATCACACACTTAAAATATTAAAAATTATGTGTCAAGAGAAGATGATATCTGCAGGAGACTATGTTGTGTTGTAATTAAAAGGTACTTGGAAAGTCCTAGAAATGCACTGTTAATGCCCAACTTTGATGTTTCCATTTTTGATCCAAAGCAAATTGCAAAATCTGTTGAGTCACGCGAACACTTAAAGTAGGCTAGTAGGTCTATGATTTCTCATTATTTAAGCAGGTATTGTATGCTTTCCCAAGCCCACCTCTGAATCACCTTTGTAAAGGCTGCTTTGATTCATGGATCTGAGGGAAAATGATGATATATGTGGAATATTTGCCGAGCGAGAGGTCCAAAAGAGCTCTATTCATGTAACTTAAAAAAAATGTCTGCGCTCTTAAAAATAGATTTTATGGAGCATTTTCCTCCTTTTTCCAAGCAAACGTTTCCTGCTCTCAGATTTCCCAACTTTAGTTTTGTGTGCTGATTTATCTATTTTTTATTTTGGGAAATGTTGCTTAATTTTACATATTCATTCATTCACCTAACATTTATTGAGATCCCACTGTGGCTTAGACATTGGAAATACAAAGATCAGTATCAACAGGTCCTTGCTCTGGAATAATTCCTAGTCTTAGAGAAAAGACAAGCGCATAAACAATTCTAAAGGACACAAAAGGAAGACTTCCCTGTTGTGCTACTTGCAGTCACCATGTGACTTACCAGATGTTGAAATTGTTGGAAAATCAAAACTAGGAATATCAGCATTATACTTTATGCCTTTCTACAGAAGTGTCCAGGAGGACCTCACAGAGCAGGGAGCAGGTGTACTTACTTGGTTGCATATATCATGGGAAGCGTGTGGGATTCAAGGTACCAGAAAAACAGGAATGAGGAAGCCAGGGAATGTTGAAAGCGAATGCCTTGCTTGAAGAATGAGTTAGGGACATTGTGACATATAGGGTATGTGGAATGCAAAGGGCAATGGTGGATGAAGGAATCACATGTACTTAATACCTAGGGAGCCCTCTTGATGCCCAAGGACTCATAGTAAGAGGAGGAATCAGCGGGAGGGGGAGATGGGGTGGGGGGCGTGGGGGGTGTTATGGGTAGCAACTCCTACAGCTTCTTGCTGCATTGGAATTGGGGGTAATTTTAAAAACAAATTTCATAATGTAAAAGTATATACATCTGTGACACTTCACAGAGGTATGCAATTATACTACCTCCATGTTTGAAACTAAAATTTCTGATCATTTCTATATGTGTGTGTTAGTTTTGGACGAACAGGTGTGAGAAGGTCAGAGGTAGTTAATGCATAAACCACAGACCCAATATGATCATAGAGTATCAGAGCTTAAGTGAGCTTTGGAGGTCATGTTGCCAAACACTTGCTTTGCAGAAGGCAAGTTTTTCCCCAGACAGGGAAAGAACATTGCTCAGTGAGGCTCAGTTAGAGGCAAGATGAATGATTGTCTTTTTCCTGAACCATGTCAGAATGGTTCTCTGTGGATGATAACAACAACCAGGGGACAGTTTGGTTCTTTTTAGCATCTCAATTAGTTTATTCCACGGTGTCTCTCTTTTGTGATACTTCTCCTAAAAAATGTGTCTTGGAAACATAACAAAGGAGTAGGTAAAGAACATACCTCCAAAGTAAACAGAAAACTTATTACCATTTAGCACCTGTGAGATAGTATGTAACTAGACCCCACCCATTGAACATCATTTCTTGGTAGAAGTGCAG